TGGCATGCCATGCTATCCCACCTAATTTACCTTTATAGTTTATCAGTTTAGCATCAAAGACATCTGCCTCAATGAATTTGTATTTCTCAGACTTTACATCAAAGCAAACTATTATCTGATAAGGTGGTCTCCTAATTCTAGAAAAGTAATACAAAATCCCGTTGATGCATATGCTATTCATCTTTCCAGTTTCTAACGTCAGAATTGTATGATCATCATCATAATCTAGATCATCATTATAATCTAGAGTAGCCATGGACAGTACCTTGAATTGCTTGTCAATCGGATCAAACCCTAAAAAGCTATTTGAACATATGCTCTTTGTCAGTTTAGGTAAGCTCACACACTGTCCTGTGCTAGGGTTACATATCACATGCATTAAATCTTCTTCATTGTTTGAGATCGGCATGCGAAGGAAACAGATCAAACCAGCGGCATAGCCACAAAATGTTAGCCGCATGTCTTCAGAGAGCTTCATATGAGAATCAGCAGCTAATACAAGGGACGCCTTTGATTTTGAAGCTGAGTCGAGGAGTAGATGCTCCACTCACCATCAAGTCCTTCGATGACGTATAAGAGACGTGGACGAGAAAAGGACTTTGCTTCGACACGCAACAACACCTCTCGACAGACTTTGCAGTCAGTCTCGAGAATATCTCTAGAAAGAGATCATTCGGGATGGAATTCATGATTGTTGTATGTTGCACAAATCTACAAATCATCGCTATGAAGATCTATAGAGTTCGTGGGGACTTTAGGGTTACTCCAAACCGAACCAAATTTTTAGTTTAAAGGCATAAACCGATCGATTCGTGACTCTTTTGTCTATTGGATTGCCCTCTTATCTCTAATATGTATGTCACATCATCTGGACAAAACTTCTTTCACCATCTCATCCATGATTCCTTGGCCTTTTTCAAGGTATTTGTAACTTGTAAGTGAGGATGTTATGGCTTAATTCAAAAACTCTCCATGATTCTTTGGCCTTTTCAATTTCTATTCCTTGCACAATACGTTATTTATCATAAGGTTGTCAAATTCGACTTAATCTTCATCCTATATATATCAGCATGCATGCTTTCTCTGTGCAATCAACGACATTGATAACAAACTCGAAATCAATTACAAGTTTCAGTTTTGGGATCAAAATCTTGTTTACATCAGCAGGTAAAAGCACTCTATGGCTTCATCCATCGTCTTATAATTGACCAAGAAATCGAAAACAATGGTGCTTTTTTTTTGTCTTTAGTTGTTCAAGGACAGAGACTAGTTCATCGAAAATGCCTCTCTAACACTAATGGAGTTCTTACCCACTCCTTTCAGCAACTGAATCTCTGTTAGAGAGACCAAAAAAAAAAAAAAATCTTTTAAATAGGATTAAAGATCATGTGTTTGCTCTTTGAAAACATTATTTTAGTGTTGAGATAATGTTGTTTCGTCAATATTGATGTTGTCTGCAGCGTTCACCACCGTTGAATTTTGAATTTCTTGTTGATCTTCTGATAGGTTCCACGGTAAGGGTCTATGAGAGACAGAGGAAAAAGAATCTTGCAAACGTGGATGGAGAAAATAGCAAAAGAGAAGAGAAGAAAGTCAAAGTGTCAAGTTTACTTAAGAAGACTCTAGTTGTTTTAGAGTATTTGCCGTTTTTGGATATTTTTCTTTTAAAAGGTTGTTGGGGAATTCAACTTGGGATTATTCAGTTTTCTTAGTTGTAACAAACTCGTAGAGAGACGATATGAGTCTTTTGGGTTTCGATCGTGATGAGATCGATAACAATGGATACTGAATCTTTGGAATTCTCTTGATTGCAATACAATATCCTCATTCATCGTATTTCTCGGTTACAATCTTACCAAATTGGTGCGTCGTGACGTTTCGGATCTCGCGATTCAAGCTTCAAGATGGAAGATGCAATGGAGTCTTCATCGCGATTGACCGCGGTGGAAGAGAATATGAAGGAAATTCACGCGGAAATGGAGGTTATGAAGGAGAACTGGGAACAATCATCCCAGAAAACGGGAGAACTAAGTCGGAGGATGTTTGCGATAAATCGGAGATTAGAAGCTCAAGCGGAAGCGATGCATCGACACTCGGAACTATTGTCGACGATCGCATCAACATTGGAGAAGCTCGATCCTGCTCATCGTGAGGAACGAGCGCTATCTAAAGCAATCGTGACTGATTCCGAAACAAATCCGTCGCATTCTCGAGCGAATCAACAGGTTCACTCTAATCCCTCTGGAACAGAATCGGATGATAATCAGTTAGGTTATCGGAGAATATCGGATGTTTTAGCAACTCGTGAGAGTTTATTACGAAAGGTCGATATGCTAGTGTTCAACAGTTCTTTACCATATGGATGGATTGCAAGAGCAGAAAGATTTTTCAGATTGGGAAGTTATACGGATGCACAAAAATTGGATCTGGTCTCGCTGAGTTTGGAAGGTCCAGGGTTGAGCTGGTTTAACTGGGAAATTGAACAAGAAATGTTTGTGAGTTGGATGGATTTTAAACAAAGATTGCTTGACAATTTTGGGGAATCAATGGATGACGAACCAGGGAAGAGATTGTGCTGTATCCAGCAAACTGGTTCAATTCGAGAATATGCGACAGAATTTCAGGAGTCGTCGTCACAAGTATCAGGAATGGATGACAAAAGTCTGACTAATGTTTTCTACAACGGATTGAAACCTGAAATGAAAGAGGTGATCAGGATGAAGGAGCCAAAAGGATTAAGGAACCATATTATAGCTGTCTTGAAAATGGAGTCAAGTGCATTTTGTAAGTTGGTCAGTGCAGCTTATCAGCCAGATTGGAAACCAAAGAAAGCTGTCATTACCACTAACTACAAATCTGCAGCACCATTCCAAAAGCCTTGGCAGAAATCAGTGCAACAAACATCAGCTACAAGTAATGGTCAATTCTCAAATGGACATCAGAATAGGCCGGCGTTAGCTGATAGAACCAACTTCCGACCCCGTCAAACGTTCTCTGATGCTGAATTGGATGAGAAAAGGAAGAATGGTCTCTGTTTTAAATGTGATGCCAAATATTCTAAGGCACATGAAGCAATATGCCCGAACAGGGAACTTCAGGTTATCACGGTGGTGAATGGGTATGAACTTGAAGTTTTGGATGAGAATATGATTGAAAGGGAAGACGAATCTACAATGGAGGAGATACAGATGATGCAAATATCATTCAATGCATTCATGGGATTAGATGCACCTTCCACGACAAAGTTAAGAAGCACCATTGGCAAATCGACACTGGTTTTCATGATAGACAGTGGTGCCACACACAACTTCGTTGATCCAAAAGTAGTGAAGCAGATCAAACTTCCAATGGAGGTACACAAGAATATTCAGGTTAAATTGGGCACTGGTATTCTAGCGGATGGAACAGGAGTATGTAAACAAATCGTTTTCTACTTACAAGGAACAGAGTTCACAGCAGACTTTATCTCTCTGGAATTAGGAGGTGTTGATATAATTCTGGGAGTACAATGGCTGCGAACCTTGGGCAAATGCGAAGTGGATTGGGAAAATCATGAGTGGAGTTTTATATATGGAGGTCAAAGAGTTAATCTAGTTGGGGATGCTGACCTACAATCTCAAAGAATTTCCCTAAAATCATTAGCCCCGGTACACACTGTTCTTGACAAATTTCCACATATATTCGAGGTTCCTACGGGTCTACCTCCAATTAGAGGCAATGAACACTCTATTACATTAATGCCGGGAGTTACCTCTGTATCGGTACGACAATATAGATACCCACACGCGAGTAAAGAAGCTATGGAGAAGCTTGTCACAGAAATGTTAGATGCTGGTATAATCCGACACAGCAAAAGTCCTTTCTCCAGTCCAGTCTTATTGGTGAGGAAGAAAGACAACAACTGGTGTTTTTGTGTGGATTATAGAACACTTAACAAAGCAACAATCTTAGACAAGTATCCCATTTCCATGATAGATCAATTGTTGGATGAACTGTACGGTGCGAAGATCTTTTCTAAGTTGGATCTGAGATCAGGGTATCATCAGATAAGGATGACTGAAGCTGACATTCCTAAAACAAATTTTAGGACACATGAGGGTCACTATGAATTTTTAGTGATGCCCTTTGGATTGACTAATGCCCCAGCTACATTTCCGGCTTTGATGAATCAGATTTTCAGATCATTTCTTCGGAAGTTTGTGCTAGTGTTTTTCGATGATATCCTCATCTACAGTGCATCAATAGACGAGCATGTGAAACACTTGCAAATGGTTTTACAGGTGTTTGAGGAACAAACACTATTTGCAAACAGGAAAAAGTGTCTATTTGGGCAGTCTCAGGTCGATTATTTAGGCCATATAATATCAGAAAAAGGAGTATCAACAGATCCGGAAAAGACGAAAGCAATGAGAGATTGGCCAACACCGAAATCAGTTAAAGCCTTAAGAGGATTTCTTGGTCTAACCGGATATTACAGAAGGTTTGTACAAGGGTACGGGTGCATCGCTAGACCATTAACAGAATTATTGAAGAAACATGGATTTGAATGGTCTTCTAAGGCTCAGTTAGCCTTTGATACTCTAAAGAATGCTATGATTTCAGCTCCAGTATTACAATTACCGAACTTCGAGGAACCATTTATCGTCCAAACTAACGCCTCAGGTTTCGGGTTAGGGGCAGTCTTGATGCAACAGAAACGTCCTATTGCATTCTTCAGCCACAGTTTGACATCTCGTGAACAGTTAAAGCCAATATATGAGAGGGAGTTGATGGCAATTGTACTGGCGGTTCAAAAGTGGCGACACTATCTGATAGGTCGGAAATTCATTGTTCACATCGACCAGAAGAGTTTAAAGTTCCTTTTGGAACAAAGAGAAGTCTCAATGGAGTACCAACGATGGTTGCAGAGATGATTGGGATATCAATTTGAAAGTTTTTACAAGCCGGGGGTGGAAAACAAAGCTGCGGATGGTCTTTCTCGGATTGATCAAGAACTTCGAATGGTATCAGTAGTGGAATTTTTTGCGGTGATTATTCCTCAAACCATTCAGTTACAGACTTTATTTGAAGAAATCGATAAAGATGTTGACATCCAGGAACTGAAAGCTAAGTTGTTATCTTCAGAACCAGTGAAGAAGGGATTTATTCTGAAAGATGACCGTGTGTGGTACAAGAATAGATTGTTGATTCCTCAGAGTTCATCGATGATACCGTTGATTCTACATGAGTTTCATGATGCTTTTATGGGTGGTCATTCGGGTGTTCTAAAGACCTTGAAGCGAATACAAGGTTTATTTCATTGGAAGGAAATGAAGAAAACAATATCAGACTACATATCTGCTTGTGGTACATGTCAAACTCACAAATACTCGACATTGGCCCATGCAGGTCTGTTACAACCACTTCCGATTCCAGACAAAATATGGAAAGATATTAGTCTTGACTTTGTCGAAGAGCTACCGTCTTCAAATGGAATTAACGTGATATTGGTTGTGGTCGATCGGTTGAGCAAGTACAGCCACTTTATTGGACTAAAACATCCGTTCACTGCAACCAAGGTTGCTTCCAAGTTCATTTCTGAGATAGTTCGGCTACACGGTTTCCTCAGACCGGGATTGGATATTCTTGAGTAAGTTCTGGAAAGAGTGTTTCCGCTTGGCAGGAACTAAACTGAAATTCAGTTCCGCTTTTCACCCACAAACAGATGGCCAGACGGAAGTAACGAATCGATGTTTGGAAACATTCTTAAGGTGTTTTGCATCCGACCATCCGAAAACCTGGTTCAAGTATCTGCACTGGGCTGAATTTTGGTTTAATACCAACTTTCACTCTTCCCTCAGAACGACTCCTTTTCATGTGGTGTATGGACGTGAACCACCAACCTTGCTGTTTTTTGAAGAAGGTTCAACGGCTAACTTTGAGTTAGAAAAGGCTCTGAGAGAACGTGACACGATGTTGACACAGATTAAGGAACAATTGACTCGTGCTCAGGACATGATGAAATCATATGCAGATAAACATAGAAGAGACGTTTCTTTTGAGATGGGAGATATGGTTTATCTGAAACTTCAACCCTATAGACAGCATTCAGTCACGAGGAGGTTGTGTCAAAAATTGGCGGCCAGATTTTATGGTCCATTTGAAGTGATTGAGAAGATTGGCAAAGCTGCATACAGATTGAAATTACCAGCTTCTTCCAAGATTCATCCGGTATTTCATGTGTCTCAGTTAAAGGCAGCCATTGGTTCGCAAAACACTGTAACTGCATTACCGGAGACATTCACGGATGCGGGAGAGTTTGTGTTGGAACCGGATGCAGTGTTGGAGACACGTTTTGATAAGCACGGTGGATTGGAACTGCTTATTACTTGGAAGGATCTTCCTCAACATGAGGCGACTTGGTTTTCTGTTCGGGAGTTTGAACGATCTTACCCAACTTTTGCGCTTGAGGACACGCTGCATCTTAAAGGGGCGGGTATTGATAGGTTCCACGGTAGGGTCTATGAGAGACAGAGGAAAAAGAATCTTGCAAACGTGGATGGAGAAAATGGCAAAGGAGAAGAGAAGAAAGTCAAAGTGTCAAGTTGACTTAAGAAGACTCTAGTTGTTTTAGAGTATTTGCCGTTTTTTGATATTTTCCTTTTAAAAAGTCGTTGGGGAATTCAACTTGGGATTATTCAGTTTTCTCAGTTGTAACAAACTCGTGAGACGATATGAGTCTTCTGGGTTTCGATCGTGATGAGATCGATAACAATGGATACTGAATCTTTGTAATTCTCTTGATTGCAATACAATATCCTCATTCATCGTATTTCTCGGTTACAATCTTACCATCTTCCAATTTTCTGATGAGTTTTCTGATTTGTTTTGAACTTTTTAGTTGCTAGTTTTAACTTAGTACCGATCTAAGATACGTTTCGAATTCCTCCGAAATACTTGTTACAAAGTTCACTGATTTTATATTACGGCATAAATGTTATTCAGCCTACTATTTATGGTTAATTTTAGTTTCAGACATGCATCTTATATCCAGGGCCGGATCTGAGAATTTGGGGGCTATAAACAATTTAAGAACAAATTTTTTCTTTTGTGATTTGGGGGTCGAAAAATTCATAAATAACCAAAGAAAAATTTTGGGGGCTATAAGCGAATGTTTCATCAGGCTGTCTCCAGATCCGGCACTGCTTATATCTCTTCATGATTTGTATAACCAGAGAGCAATTCCTCATCATATTATGAGAAGCTACACTGAGAAAAGTATCTTCAGGACAAGGGATCATCAAGCATCCCAATAAGCGACTGGCACAATGTCTAGATTGTTTCTTCTTCTGATTCTATCTCCATCGTACATGGCAAGAAACCCTTTTGGTGCTGATATGTCTTTCCTCGTTGGTGCTACAGAGCCCCCAAGAATCTTCGTTGCCGCCAAGAATACTCTTACCAATGCCAATTTTTGTCTACTCAAAATAAATAAAATGCATGCACAAAGAAAGCAGCGTCTCATATCTCAAAGAAGAGAATTTGAACAAAATGGTAATTAAGCCAACAGAGTGATAAAGCTCTCACGAAACCTGAGATGACAAGTCAAAACATACTTACAAGCCAAAATAGCTATAAATATTATGGAGACAACTTCAGCCAAAAACTTAATTTCTTAAAAGAATTTCTTTGATAACTTTGATGTTTACAGAAAAGAGAATACCACTTTTATTAAACAGGAACTTTTAGCCGATTTGGGAGAGCAAGGGAAGCAATCACGTTTTGACACCTGCAAATTAATCATCATCTAAAAGAGACAGAGCATCAAATTTGTTAATGCTCTCAAACCTATGACGATCTTGTAGCAGGTGAGCTCTCATATTAAAATTAAGATCCTCTACATAGTCTACAAAGGTGCAAACTCTTTGGTAACTCCTGTCCTCAAGCACTTCATGGTTACCTTGGATTTTAACACTGCAGAGACTGTTGCTTTCGGGATTAAAGTAGAACACATAATAAGGTTTCAATCTATATATCTCCGACAAAACAATTTCCCCTGTTGCGGTCACTCCAACGACGTCAACATCAATGAGTTTACTATCCGGAAAAGTGCAGGCATATTTTGGCGCTTCTTGTATCTCGTAATCCTCTAAAACCCACATACACAACTCAAAGGTAGGCCTTTCACCAGAGCGAGTGTTATAACGCCGCCAACTAATCACAGCTAATTTACATCCCATCCAAAATAAATGGATATTGCGTTGATAGACTTGAATTTTTCAGACCTAACATCAAAGCAAATTATCACACAAAGCCTTTCATCTTTTTCTCGAGCAAAGTAATACAAAACTCCATCGATGCATATCCCTTGAGACGAGTCAGCAGTAGGATAATGGGTTAAGGGAGGTTTAATCTTCCTCCAGCACATCTCTCCGGTTCCTAATGTCAGAATTCTATAATCACATTCAAAAAGTGGTCTGGACATGCAAAGTAGTACCTTAAATTGCTTGTCAATCGGATCAAACCCTAAAAAGGTGTACCACCTTCGTTCGTTCATTCTCAGTTTAGGTAAGACTGTGTGCTGTCTTGTGGGTGGGTTATATATCAGATGCTGCACTGTATCCATATACTGTTTTGAGACCAGACGGAAACAGAACAAACCAGAGGCACGACTACAAAAGACTAGCCGTATGTCTCCAGCGAGCTTCAACTGAGAATGAGAATCGGCCTCTACTACAAGAGACGACCTTTCATGTGGACTATGTGCCTGAGGCAATGAGAAGAAGTGCCATTCATTGCTACGATATCCTTCAAGGCGAAGAAGAGACGCGGTGGCCTGGTTAGGAACAGTTCGGTGAAAACTGGACGGCAAAGAATGGACTCCCATTGCTTCGACACGCAACGAGACATCACTATTGACTTGGTAGGCAATCTAGAGAATATATCGTGAATGAGATCAATCGGTAGTGAATCCATCATCAGAAGGAACGGAGAGAGAGAAATGAATGGAAATCAATTCATCGTATAGGCAATCTCTAATATATACACGTATAGAGTTCGGGAGCCCTAGGGCATTCATTTCGAACCGAACCAAATCGTGGTTTGATTTCTGTTTAAGGCCACATTGGGTTGATCATAATGTTTCAAGTGTATAAATTCGGCTCGATCTTTAGCCTTGAGAATAAACTATAAAGTCGGATTTACAAGGAAAAACAAAAACGCATTTTTTAATATATAAAAGTTTATATACAATAACTTGTATCTAAGAATTGGGTTTTATAGTAGACACAACAATCACAAAAACCAAGATTGTTATCTTAAAACTTATTTCTTTCACCAAATCTCTCACTACTTATACATATGGTGCTTAACGAAATTTCAGTGACATTTGAATATATCTCTGTTCCAGGAACACTAACTCAGTATACATATGGTGCTCTAGACTTCTAGTGCATTCATTACGAATCGAACCAAATTCCATGCGGTTCGATAAATTTAAGTCAAATTCGGTTTAAAGGCATAAACCGGTCGAACCTTGGACGAATCTAAATCTTTAGTTTTTTTTTTTTCCTATTGGATTGCTCTCTCTCTTTATACGTACTAGGAGAGAGGTTTTGTTTTATATTGTTTTATAAGTGAATCTATTTTTGATTTTTAGTTTAACTATCAATCTCTTTTTAGTTCTTTCATCCAAATTTCAAGTTCTTTAGTCTAAATTTTGGTTTAAAGATAATTGTTAACTTTATCAATATACATTTTTTAATGATTTTAGTAACTTTTTTTTATTTATTATGTTTTTGTTTTCTTTCATCAATCTCCAAAAAGGACTTCAAATTTGAGGTTGGTCAAACTTCAAATTTAAGGTTTGATGGTGTTTGTCTCCAAAAGTAAAATCTCAAATTTACTGTTACAAAATTTAAAATATTGTATTATAATCCTTACTTTTAATTATTATTATTAAAAATCATATAACTTTATAAATAACAAAAAAATACATTAAAAATATCATTTATTAAAATTATATTATAAAATTTATAATAAAATTAAAAATTACATTATAAGATAAATTTACATAAAGATAATTGTTTGGATTAAAATGATAAACGTAAAAAGTAAAGTAATTCTTTATAAAATATATTATTGTGAGGACTAAAATGCAAATAAAAATTGCAAACCTTAAATTTGAGGTTTTGAACAGTGCAACCTCAAATATAAGGTTTCATTGTTCAAAACCTCAAATTCTGAAGTTTTACGGTTGCTTTTGGAGTGAATAAAACCTCATATTTGAAGATTTAAGGTTGCTTTTGGAGATGCCCTTACAATGGCTAGTTGAAAAAATAAATTAAACTTGAACATTTGGAATGGCAAGCTGAAAACAAAAAAAAATCTGATGTGGATTAAATTATGTTGAAAAGATTCATGTTGAAAAAGTAAAGGAAGAGAGAGAAAAAGCATGTGGCAGTTATTGATTGGCAGTTCATATTCTTGATATATATTTTTCATCTAAAAGATTTGAGATCATTTATTTTATAAAAAATTATATTTTTTCAACTTTTTTTTATAAAAATTTATCATTTTTCATATTTTATAAATAGAGACTAATTTCACTTAATTTGGACATAATTTTTTTTTTTTTGCTAGTTAGCTTCTAATTAACTTTTGATTATTTATTTATTAGTTTTTTTAGTAAAATGAATCTTAAAATAATTTCACCCAAAATTCTTATAGTTATCTTTTTAAATATTCAAATCTTAACAATTATTAGATTTGAAATGTTTTGCAATTAAAGAGATGTTAAAGTGTAGTAGGGTAGAGTGTTGAGTTTTATCAAACAAACTATTGTAGAGGGTAAAAAGTGAGTGAATGTTGAATTCTTAGATGGAAGAGAGAAAAGATGATGTGGAGTCTTAAAAGAGAAAAAAGAAGGTGTTGAAAAAAACAAATCATTGTACATAGTCTTACATGGTTTTTTTTCCCTCAATTATAGCCCAGCGATTTTGTTAATGGGTCACTAGTCTTGAAGTTCGTCCTAGCCAACGATTTATGGGCCACCAATGTAGAAGTCGATACTAACCTAAAACCTAGCGTATCCATCGTGCTAAATATACTCATATAACATCTGTCTACTAAGTTTAAGCATATTTTTCAAAAAAAAAATTGTTCACATTTTTTTTTTAAAAAACAATCATAGCTAATTTAGAAAAAAAAAACGTTTACCTCTTTTTTTTTAAAAAAAAAAAACCAAATCATAGCATTTTTTTTATAAAAAAATTGTACATCTCTTTAAAAAAAAATATATACTATTATTTATGCCTATTCTTAGTAGAGATTCCATTGTTGGTTCTGTACTTCATCTCTCGTCTTACAATGAAATCTTCAGGTAAATATAAATTTATGTTTTTATTTTAGTTCGTGCTTGAAATGTTTTTTTAGATTCTATAAATTTTCATTTGTAAATTTATTGCCTTATAGTTATTTGCTTCAAAACTTTTATGAATTTTCTGTAGCGACTAGCAATCGTCCTCAATGTCAAATAGTTTTTTATGAATTTCCCCTTCATGATATTCAGATTTTTCTGTATCATCTGCCTCAATGTCAAATCGTTTTTC